ATATCTTAGACGATGGGAGAAAGATAGAAATATCAAGGGTGAGAGAGAATCATTGATCGAGCCCACAACCTGGGCATGTGCCCTGACCGGGAATTGAACCCTGACCTCCTGGTTCATAGATTGATGCTCAACCACTGAGTAACAGTGGCCAGGCCAACCTGGTTATTTTTAATGTCAAGTTTTAAATATTTAAAAAATTCATTTATTGTTCAGAAGCCACTATATGAAACTATGTACGGATTGATTAAAGCAAACATATCATGCAACAGGTAACTTTCCTACTCACGTATCCTTCTATCTAAACTATATATGCATATGCATACAAGTCAAAATATTGATTCAAATGGATGCCAATTGTTCATAGGGTTTCCCAAGCAATCAAAAAAGGATATTGCTATTGAAAGCTAATTGACTAAAACATACACACACACGCCCTATCAACATGAAGCTGACACCAGTGTGAAATATCAACAACTAGTAATCCAACAATGAGATACTTGGGAGATTTAAAAAGAAAGAAACGAACAAAAATGTTTTAATTTAATTAAAGAAATAAAATAATTTAATGGAAGAGTAGAACAGATTATGAACTGCTAAAATGATGGCTATAAACAGGAAGATGGAGCTGAAAATTACTTAATAGATATACAATGTGTCCCAGATATGTGGAATAAAAATTATAGAAGTATATTACGGATCAGTGGAATAGACTAAATAATAGATAATCCAGAAATAAACCCATGCACATATGGGTAATGAATATATGAAAAGGGAGAACATAAATCATTCAATAAATGGTATTGGAAAAACTGGACAGATAAATGCAAAAAAAAAAAAAGGAAATGAAACTAGATCACCTTCTTACACCACATACAAGAATAAACTCAAAATGGTTTAAAGACTGAAATGTTGCCCCGTGGACCCGCAACCCGCTACCGACCAATCTGCCCGGCACTCGCGTGCACCATGTCTGGTTCCTCCAGCGTCACCGCTATGAAGAAAGTGGTCCAACAGCTCCGGCTGGAGGCCGGGCTCAACCGCGTGAAGGTTTCCCAGGCAGCGGCAGATTTGAAACAATTCTGTCTGCAGAATGCTCAACACGACCCCCTGTTGACTGGAGTATCTTCAAGTACCAATCCCTTCAGACCCCAGAAAGTTTGTTCCTTTTTGTAGTAAAATGAATTTTGAAGGTGTTCTAAACCACTTTTCTTGAACCGGCGAATATTCAAAGAGAGCTAAATCTGAAGTCTGTACAAAAGGCTTACCCTATAACATGTCTCATACTACATAAACTTCTGCTTTTGTCCGTCCTTGGCATCTACCTCTCTGAATTTTCATGAATTTCTATTTCACAAGAATGATTATTTTATATACACTGGCAGCAGCATACAAATAAAATACTTAGTATAAAAAGTATTTTTGCCTAATTATTGTTAATACACTATGTATTAGTTTGTTTTGAACACCTAAATTAAATGGCAATTTTCCCAGTCAAAAAAAAAAAGAAGACTGAAATGTAAGACTCAAAACCATAAAACTCCTAGAGAAAAATAGGCAGTAAAATCTTGGCCATTTCTTTAAGTAATATTTTTGGATATCTCCTCAGGCAAAATAAAAAAAAAGGAAAAATAAATGGGACTAAAGTTAAACTAAAAAGTGTTTATATAGCACAGGTAACCATGAACAAAATGAAAATGCAACCTACTGAACGGATGAAGATATTTTCGTATGAAGAGGATAATATCCAAAATTTATAAAGAATGCATGAATCTCAAAAACAAATAATGCAATTAAAAAGTGGGCAAAGAAACTGAATAGACACTTCTTCAAAGAGGACATACCGTTGGCCAATAAACATCTGAAAAGATGTCTATTTCTAATCATCAAAGAAATGCAAATTAAAACTACAATGAGATATCACCTCATACCTGTCATAGTGGCTATCCTCAATAAATCAACAAACAACACATGTTGGTGAGGTCGTGCACTCTTTGTGGAATTGCAAATTGTACAGCCATTATAAAAATCATTAGGATAGTCCAGGTTCGATTCCGGTCAAGGGCATGTACCTTGGTTGCGGGCACATCTCCAGTAGGAGATGTGCAGGAGGCAGCTGATTGGTGTTTCTCTCTCATTGATGTTTCTAACTCTCTATCCCTCTCCCTTTCTCTCTGTAAAAAATCAATAAAATATATTTTAAAAAAACAAATGATACAGAAACAGACTCTTAGATACAGAGAACAAACTGAGGGTTACAAGATTAGAGTAGGGTGAAAAAGATGAATGGATTAGTAAGTATAAATTAATAGTCATAAAATACTCATGGCAATGTAAATATAGGACAGGGAATATAGTCAATAACATTGTAATAATTATGTATAGTATCAGGGGTACTAGAATTATTAGGGGATCACATCATGAATAATATACATGTCTAATCATTATTCTGTAGACCTGAAACTAAAATAATATTGAATGTAGTAGTCCAGTACAGAGAAACAGAAGCAATATGATATATGGAGGTATAGATATGAATATATCTAACTATCTGTACATCTGTATGTATAGTGAGAATGAAATTTGTTATAAGGAATTGGCTCATAAAATTGTGGGGCTGGTGAATCTGAAATTTGCAGGACAGGCTGGCAGGCTGGACCCAGGGAAAATTGAAGATGCAGTCTTGAATCAGAATCTCTTTCTCCTCAGAGTCTCTCATTTTTTTTTTTCTGAAGGCCTTTAACTGATTGCCTGAGGGCCACCCACATTATAAATGTTAATCTGCTGTACTCAATGTTCACTGATTTAAGTATTAATCACATCTAATAAATACCTCGCATTGACCTTTAGATTGGTGTTTTACAAACAACTGGCACCTTAGCATAGCTAAGTTGACACAAATATTAATAACCATCTCAAAGAATTAATATTAAGAAATGTCAAAGATAAAATGAGAAAACACATTACTTTTCTGAATAATGTTTTAGGAGAAATAGACTTAGAAGTGAGTCAATATCCACAGCAATATTATCTGAAAGTTTGTCAAAATTGATAGAAAGACAGACTTCAGATTAGAGTGACACACAAATCCAGAACAAGAAAATAAAATTAAATTCACAACTAGTTATGTTATGAAATTTCAGAACATAAAAGAAAGACTAGTAATCAGAGTAAGGGCAGGTTGTTTACTAGTATCAATAGCTGCAGAAGATAACGGGAAGATACTTCAAAAGGCTCAGGAAAAATGAGCAAACAATTTGGTTTTTATACCCAGCTAAATGAATGGTTAAAAGAGAGGGTAAAATAAAGCCATTTTTTCTTTATCAGACAAACTCTGAGAGCTTTCTTAATCTGTGGCCTTTTACTGAAAGAAATATTAGTACCCTCATAAAAAAGAGTGTTCTGAATAATGAACTAGGATACAAGATGCAATTCTCTCTAAATAAATTTAAAACATTTTGGTAAAACTAAATGAACTTTAATTGTAAGAACAACAACAGCAATAAACAAAAATACCCATTTTATTTTGAAAAGATTAAAAAAGCAAGTTGTATCTACTAGATAACTAGCAAAAGAGGACAGGTATGTGTTAAAAATTAAATTGTGCTAATATTTTTCAGAGAAGAGATATTATTAGACTTCGTTATGTCAACCAAAGATGTTAAAAATTAAAGGACAATTGCTAAAATAATGAAAATACATTTGTTTACTAATAGAATAAAAAGAAAATTGGCACACTTAAACAGAAATACTAAGCAAAAAGCATGTAAAATTGTAAAGGAAATAAAGTAATAGGGATAACTCCAAATATAAATTAACTAGAGGCCTGAGGCATGAAGATTCGTGCAAGAATGGACCTTCCGTCCCCTGTCTGCCGGCACCGCCTTCGCTCCAGCCGGAGCCTCCTTTCTGCTTTCACTTTGGCCCAGAGCTGCCTTTCCACCTTCACTCCAGGCCAAAGCCACCTTTTTGTCTTTGCTCCAGCCCAGAGCTGCCTTTCCACCTTCCCATGCTGCCCAGAGGCCCAGAGCAGCTAGGGCAGTGCGGAACACCTGCGTCGTCACCATGGCAACAATGCAAGCATCCCACCTTGCACGGCCGCTCGGTGCCTACATATGCAAATTAACCCACTATCTTTTTGGGGTTCATTTGCATAGTCACTCCTGATTGGCTGGTGGGCATCGCAAAGGTACGGTCAATTTGCATCTTTTATTAGTGTAGACTAGAGACCAGGTGCACAAATTAGTGCACAGGTGTGGTCCAGCGGGACCTGCCTGATTGGGGCTGATCAGGCTGGGCCAGCCAGGGGAAAGGGCCACGAGAGAATGGCAGGATGGCCCTGCCCCCTAGTCGAACTCCCGGTAGAGGGGACAATTTGCATATTAGGCTTTTATTATATAGGATACTCATAAAATTGTAACTGAATTAATAAAATATTAATTTTGTTATTCAGATTTGCTTAATCTAATTTTGCCTCATGAGAGTATCTAAGCATCAAAATTCAGAGAGGCTGAAAGGAAAGAGACAGTAAAATATACACTGGAAAATATTAAGCAAAGAAATCTAGTGTTGGTATGTTAATTTCAAATAACATAAACATTCAGGCTAGCTTCTGGAATAACTAGCCCCTTGAGTAATCTCGAGTGACATACTTATACTCCCTAGAAGAGAACAAGTAACGAATCTATCAAGCTGCCAATTTCTGGGTATTCTGAGAGGTTCTAAGAAAACTTCCAGAACAGTATCTTAGGAAGTGTCATTCTATTCCTAAGCCTTTTTCATAGTAAACTATAGCTGGGTAGAGAGTTGCTCTGCGATAGTGTGATGCTGTGGTTGCCTTCTTCGACAGTTAAAACCTTCCTTTTTTTTATTGGCTTATAGAACTCATTGTTTACTCTATGGCTTAATAAACTGAGTTTATTTTTAAAATAAAAAAGACCATTTACAAGTTTTGTATAAAAAGAGAGAGAGATCCTATGTGTGTAACACATTTGGATTTTTTGGCTTTAGCTGTTACATGCTGTGGGACTTCTGACTGCAATTCAGGTTACCAACCATTAGATGAATGTTGTTTACTTGCAAAGAGAGACCATCTTAGACCTATTTGACAAGACATAAAAAGACAATTGTTTAATAGATAGAAAGGTGATGATGATAGACATAGACACATGGTATATAGATAAATAAGTAGGTAGATGATAGGTAGATAGACGACAGATGATAGGTAGATAGTAGATAGATAGATGATGATATATAGGTAGATGATGATAGATGATAGATAGATGATAGAAGATAGATAGATGACAGATAGATGATTAATAGATGATAGATAGATAGATGATAGACAGATAGATGATAGATAAATACAGATGATAAAGATACTCTGTCAATAAAAATCTATTTAGGGTTAACAACTATAATAATAACATTAGTGTAGTTTAAGTAAAACAGACAGAACTGGAGAATGTAGTCTCTACGCTTTTGGGTAAGTCATATGACCACACTGATTTCCATGTTCTATAAATGAAGAACTAAGTGATTTTTAAGATCCTCTTCTTGTGCTATAATTCCATATCATTTGAAGCAGTACATGGGGGGGAATTAGGGTTAACAACTATAATAATAACATTAGTGTAGTTTAAGTAAAACAGACAGAACTGGAGAATGTAGTCTCTACGCTTTTTGGTAAGTCATATGACCACACTGATTTCCATGTTCTATAAATGAAGAACTAAGTGATTTTTAAGAACCTCTTCTTGTGCTACAATTCCATATCATTTGAAGCAGTACATGGGGGGAAAAAAGAAACTCTTTCAGGCATCTGGTGATTACATATATATACATATATATGTTTTTACTGATATTTAGAGAGAAGAAGGGAGAGGGAGAGAGATGGAAATATAAATGATGACAGAGAGACATCAATTGGCTGCCTCCTGCACCCCCCTACTGGAGGTCAAGCCCACAAACCAGGCTTGTGCCCTAACCAGAAACTGAACCTGCAACCTCTTGGAACATGGTTCACTGTTCAACCGCTGAACCACACTTACTGGACTTTTTTAATGCAATTTGTATATTTTAAAATTGCATTTTACTTAGTTTCACAAAAATCATAGCTATTTTTAGAAATTCCTAATATTTGGCACTCCAGCCCTGGTTAGTCTAATCTGGGTTTGGGTTTTATAAGCTCTTATGTTATCTCCTAATGACAACGACC